AGGAGGGGAGGAGGGGCTGGGAGCAGGTGCAATGGGACTGGGGGTACGGGGGTCAGGCCTCCTTGCCCTCTCTGCTCTGTCCCCAGCACCCTTCTCTATTTCTTCTGGGGGGCCCTCTGCTTACCTGTTTGGTTTCTCTGTGGAGACTGCGGTCTCTGCCCTTGTGTGGAGGAAGGTCACTTCCACGGGGTGGGCGGAGGAGGGCTTCTGGGGGAAGTAGCCCTGGGAGGGCAGCTGTGGTGGCTGGGGGTGGGGGATGGGAAGCAAGTTCCTTCCCTCGGCTGGCTCACTGGGGCTTCATTCCTGTTGGCAGCCGCACAGGGTCCCAGGAGCTGCCCAGCCTGAGTGTCTAGGCCTGACCCACACCTGTGGCAGCAGGAGCTCGTTGCTTCTCCATGCAGTCCGTGCACCCCATCCCATGCTCTAGCACACATCTGGGCCTGAGTCTTCCAGCAGAGCTCCAGGCTTGTTCCCACCTCCCAAGGCAGCGAGGGGGCCTCTACATCCCATCCTGGCTTTCTTTTGCTCCAAGACTTGCGCTGGCTCCCAGTGGCCTCTGGGACAGGTCTGGCTGCTTATGGGCCATGCAGAGCCCTTCCTGCACCCACAGTATTAGCCTCATCCACACCTGCCCTCCAGCCCCAGGCCATGCCCCCAAGGACTTGCCACCTGGAAAGCATTACTCAACATTCAAGACCCAACTCAGGGGGTTCCCTCTTTGGGGAAGAGCTTCCTGCCCTGCCATGCTGCTTGGGGGTCTCCAGGGTCCCCTCCCCTGCAGCCTGAGCTGTCACCACACATGGATGTGTTCTCCCCAGGCCCCTGTGGGGGTCCCAGGCTGGTGTGGGGTGCAAGAACACTGGCTGAGGTTATCCTTGTGGGCTACCCTGAAGGACACAGCGTCCCCTGCCACTCAAACCCCTCTGCACCCCTCACTGGGCCTCCAGATCTTTCCTCAAGCCTCCTGTGTCCACTCTCTGAGCCCATGGGAGCACTGGCTGGTGAGCAGGACAGCCTGGCCCAAGGTTTCTTTTCTCTGGCCTCTGGTGCTTCCCTCACCCCCATGGGCAGTAGGGCAGGAGGGGCTGGGGGGCCATTGTTCGGCCATCCTTTCCTCGGCTCAGATCCCTTCCTCCCTCTACCTGGCTACTCACAGCACTCCCTCCCAGTTGGGTCCTGGGAGAGGCATGTGTGGACCGGACTCCTGACTCCTAAATCCCTGGCTTAAGGGATATTTCATCTAAAGCACTCAATACCATGTTAGGCAGAGGAAAACTTGCACAGAGAAGCCTCTGTTGTGAGCAGTCACTCCCAACCCATTTTACCGATGGGAAAACCAAGGCCATGCCAGGGTGCGTGAGTTGGGAACTGCAGCATGAGGACCAGAGCCCCGATCACCAGGCCAGCTTTCCCTGCTGGATTTGTGAGCCCACATACAATCGCAGCTCGTACCTGCTGCTTATGTGGCTGCTCTGAGAGCTGAGGACCCATCCACACCCACAGGGACTCCACCAAACCCAGGGGAGGGGTGTGCCCACCACAGGTGCACACAAAAGGATCTATACATCATGTTGCATGTACACACGTGGTGGGAGGGAGGGAGACGCGGGCACTTGGTCTGGCGTGGCCTGGTTGGGGCAGCTTCCAGCCAATGCCATTAACCCTTAGCTGTCCTGCACAGTTGGATAGCCCACCTGCAGCAGGGAGTATGGGGGTTGTGGGGGGATGCCAAGACCCTGGTGGAGGAACCAGTGGCCTTGTGACACCCCACCCTCCTCATTCCCCACTCCTCCCCTCAATCTCTTTGAAGATTGTCCCTTTACAACTGCCCTTTCCACCAAAGGCTTCAGACACAAATTGTACTTTAAATTCAATATCGGTCATTAATATTTCATGATTACAAAACGTTAAAGATAATGTCAGTGGAAGGAACGTCTGCATGGGCAGAATGGATGACTCAGAAGTGAGGGAGAGGGGGCCGGCATACTAAGTGCTGTGCGAGGTAATCCGGTGTGACAGGCAGCACAGGCCGGTCCTCCCCTGCGCGCCACAGCCCGGCACCGTGCAGAAATGTCTCCCCTCTGATTCTTGTCACCTCCTGTTTGTTTCACCCAGGAGTGAGCAGGCAGGGCCACCATGACCCCCAAGCATACCATTTCCGAGGAAACCAAAGGGACGCCTCAACCGAATGGCACAGGACCAGGTGGGCAGACCTGCTGGCACTGCACTGGGGTGGGGGCACAGCTGGCCCTCAAGAGGTAGGAGGGCTGAGACCGATCCCTGGCTCAGCTCTGGGAAGATTTCTTCTGTGATCTTGGGACCACTGTTGGTGCTTCTCGAGGCTCAGTCTCCCCATCTAAGGAATGGGTGTCTTAATTGTGTCCTTGTCTCATTGAGACTGCAGGAAGGGGCATGGCTGCGTTTCAGATTTGGGGCCAGCACCAAGGAAACAGGCCTTGGAGGATGAACTGGGCTGGGAATGTGGGCAAATGCCTTCACTGCCCCCGAGGCAGTGAAGGGACACCTCTGGGGTGTACAAATGCCAAGGGCCCATAACAGAGAAGGACTCAGCGGAGTCACTGCTCAGGTCAAGAGGATACCCACTGCTAGCTGGGCACTGCCTTGGCATGGGACATGTGGCTGGGCTCCTCCGGGCACTGGTCTGTGAAGCCCTTTTTCCTAGCACTGTTGGAGAGTGGGGACGCGTCCCCGAGGCTACCCAAGACACTCGTCTCCCTTCTCCCAGCCTGCTGTCCTGGATAGGCAGGTGTGATGGGATGTGACTTAGGGAGCAGAGAGTGCTGGTGAGGGGACTGGACAGCAAGCCCCAGCTGCTCCTTGGAGCATCTATTGACTCCTAAATTTCTGAGCCTAAGAATTCAGAGTGTGGGCTGCTGCCCTGGGGATATCTGATGTGAAACCAAGGGCACACCTTGACCTTGCTGAGCCTGGGTGTCCCCAGCTGGGCCGTGGACCAACAGTCGCCTACCAGCTAAATGAGTGTCAATCATGACTCAATGACAGCAGGTGGAAGAAAGCATCTATTCCAGTTATACATAAGAGGCAGGGGGATACAGGTGTGTATGTATGAGAGAGAGAGAGAGAGTCAGACAGACAGACTAGGGGGCTGGGCCAAGCTGACGTTAAAAGCCGGAAACTCAGTTTTAGATCTTCCCATGGGAGTGGCAGAGCCCCCCAGTACGTGTGTTGTCACCAGGTTGTGCATCAGTGGGAAGCTGGACTTGGAGCAGAGCTGAGACTGGAATCCAGGTAGCCCACCAGTGAGGGACACAGGTGTGCCCAGCAACATCTTAATGACTAAGCCAGATGCCCATCCCCAGGCTGCATCCTGAGTAAAAACTGCGATGCTCTGTGGAGGAGCCACAGGCTGTGTTGCTTTCTTAAAGGGACACTCGGGGCAGAAGCTCAAAGCCTGACTCTGGAGCTGACTTGCCAGTGGGGGACAGTGGTGGAGTAGGGGGCATGGAGGTCAGGTAGGAGGACAGGTTAGGGGCGGGGGACAGAGGCGTCTGTGCTCAGGAACCAGGTGGGTGTTGCTAGGCTCCAGACTGTATGCACCTGCAGCCTGGACGAGGCTGGGGAGGCAGGAAGGGGAGCTGTCTCCCCCCGCCCAGTTCAGCCGCCACTTCCTCTCCAGCCACCTTTGTTATCTGCCTTTTAAGCGGCCGAGGAGTGGATTCAAAGGCTCAGGAGCAGCAGGCACCGAGGTCTGAGCCAGCTTTGTATTTTCTTTTAAACTGCAGTTGAAAGAGGCCAAGGGAACTTCAGCCTGGGGACTTCCTCGGCCCCAGAATGGGCCGGTGGGACCCTGGACGTGAGGGGACACTAGCGAGGGGGGAGGAGGAGAGGAGGCGGAAGGCTGGTGAGAAGTGAAAGGCTCCCGGGGCTGCTGGTGGGGAGGGGGCGGTGGAGGGATGCCTGATGAGCGGCCCCTCATCCCTTTCCCATATCCAGCTCTCTGCGTCTCACCTTGAGGCCTGATCTGAACTGTGTCTCAGGGCATCCTTTGTGTTGCCCTGGTCACACTTCTCCTGGTTGCACCAACACATGCTTGTGCACACACACACACACACACACACACACACACACACACCTCTCTTAGAATCTTAAGCCAAGCCAAGCCAAGCCAAGTGCCCCATAGCAACCCTGGGACCTCTCCATATAGCTCCCCCAGCAGGTAATTCCTGCTGGTTCTCCCTGCAAACCTAGTATGTGCTCTGAGGCAGGCCACATCTCACTTCTCCCACTGGGGCTGCCCACTCCCCAGCACTGTTGCCTGTAGCTCCCAGCCAGTCTGGCTGTCCTTGGTGCGTCTCAGGGTAGCACTGACCACATCCTGTCACAAGCACTCCCTCCTCGGCTCCCTGCCCCACGCCCCACGCTCCTAGGACTCTCAGTGCATTTGGAGCAAAGCCCAAAGATCCTGCAAAGGCCCTGCCGTGGCTGGCCACCCTGCCCCTCACCTGGCCTCTTAACTGTTCCTCCCACACGCTCGGAAATGCAACCCCAGGGCCTTTGCACTGACTGTTCCCGCTGCCTGCTGTGTTTCCCCCAGATGTCAGCATGGCTCTGACACTACTGTCTCTTCCCAGAGCAGAGACTGCACCCCTCCCCCTTCCAGGACCCTTCCCAGGCATGCTTTTCTCCTTTTCTTAGCTCTCAGCATCACTGGACACCTGTGGGTTGGCCATAGTCTAGCTTTCCCCTTGTTCAAGGCTGTAATCCCGACCCCCAGAACAGGGCTTGGAACTGAGGCAGTTCTCAGGATACAGGAAGCTAGCCTTACCCCTGTGGCTCGAGATCTCTCCTCAACTTAGCTTTGCTAAGTTTCTTTCTCTCTCTGCCCGCTCCCACCTGTGGCACCTCCTCCCACTGCCTGTGATCAACAGCCTAGCTTCGCTTAATGGTCCCACCCATCAGCTTTTCTTTTCCCGCCTTCTTGCATTGGCCCTTCAGGCCCTGATCTTCGCCCAGCTCACCCGCTTCCATGGCCAGCACAGTGATGTTGTGCCAGCCGGCAGTCTCCCGGTCCAGCCCCTTGCCGGTCACGATGGCACCTGTGTCTGCATCAATATCAAAGATCTGGTCCAAGTCCGACTCGCGGTCGATGGCGTACCTGGGGGAACAGAGGGAGGCTGATTGAAGATGTCCAGTATCAGGTGGAACCCAAGCCCATCTCCCCAACCCCATCCCACCCCACCCTAAGTGAGGAGTCTTGTGGTGGGTGGACGCACAGGGCCAGGGGGTCCATTTCCAGATGCAGAATGGTCTTTGGGGCCAACAGTTGCCATGAGCTCTGGCATAGGCAAGTTGGTTGACCGATAGCAGCAGCCTTGCTCATCCTTATCTTTCTGGGACAGGCGACCCTGATTGGGCTTGAAGACAGTGGTAGGGTGAAGGCTGATGCTCTGGGCAGGGAGAGAGCAGAGCTGGGTCCCGGGAGGTGCTGCATGCAGACCGGGAGTGTGGCACAGGGGGACAGGGACCGCTGGTGGTGTTAGGTAACTTCTGCATGCTCTGCCTGGAGGTTCCGGGACAGGCACCGGAGCTGAGCCCGCGCCAGGCCAGCGGGTCCTGGGACCTGGCTGCAGCTCCTCCCGCCTGCGCAGCACGCGGCCAGCTAATCTGCTGCTTTCAGTCGCTGCGTGAAAAAGCCCTTTGTTCCACCTTCTTCCCGTGCCTTTGTGAGGCGGCTCCAGGCCTGAAAGGCCCGTGTCCAACACATGTCTCGGGCGGCGCCCAGAGAGGCCTGGGCAACTCCAGCGTGCTGGCTCTCCGCTTCCCGGTGCTGATAAGGCAGGCGCGGGCTCAGCCAGGCTGTGTGCAGACAAAGGCCTCGAATGCCAAGCAAAGACCCATTGTGCGCGAGGACAAAGCAGCCGTGGGGAGGGGTTCAGGCAGAGCCACTGGCCCCATCCCAGCTTCTTCCAGAGAGGGCAACTGAGGCCCAGGCAGATGGTGACACCTGAGGAGGCAGGTCTGACAGCATTCACTCCTGGGCTCTAAGGAATCCTCCCTCCCTCCCCTGCCTGAGTCTACCTGTGGGATTTTGAACAAGACATTCCACCTCCTTGGCCCCCATGTGCCCATCTGGAAAGTGGGGTTAGGGAGGAGCTGGGTGCATGGGTTGGTCCCTGTGAACTTCCTGTGGGTTGTTGGCTGCCAAGGGTCGTGCCTGTGGGCAGAGTAGGCATGGTCAGCCCTGAAACCCCACTCTCAGGAGCCTGCAGCCTCCCTACACAGCCCAGCCAGGTCACACTGGCAGGGATGAGAGCATGTGGGGCAGTGCAGAGCCACGTGATGGCTGCTCTCACAGCAGGTGCATCAGGGTGAGTAGAGAACCTGTCCCTCAGTTAGCCCTGACCATTCACTGAGCACCTTCTTTGGGCTGTCCTGTGCCAGTCACCAGGCATTACATGGCAGAGGAGACAGACAGACAAGGCACCTGCTGGGCATCCTAGGCGGCTGATGCAGGTGCTGAGACCCAGAGAGGAGGCAGGCACTTCAGGGCTGCTGTGTGCAGGTGTGCAGGCTGTGTCATGTGTAATGGTACAAGGCTGAAGAGGGGAAGTGGGGGAGGGGGTGAATTCCAGCCAGCAGGTTGCTTGCCAAGATACACCCACTAGTCCTGGGACTATCATGTCTGAAGAGGTCTCCCCGGATCCATCCATGTGAGACAGCTATGACCTTGCCCAAGGTTGCACAGTGACTGTCAGGCCTTGGTACTTTGCACCCACCATGGGGACTCACCACCAGAGTTCCTCTGAGCTTACTCAACCACGCAAAGCCACACGCGTGGTGCCTAAGGAGGGAGAGTCCCTGAGCCAGGGTTTGGTGGGAAGGAAGTACGAAGCCTCCTGGAATCTGAGCCCAGGATGGGGACAGGTCCTGTGGGAGTTCAGCGCTGGGTACTAGGCAGGTGGGCAGGGCTGGGGAGGGTGCCCACTGCCCTCCTGCTGCTGCTTCTCCCTCCTCTCTCAGACTTCTGTCCCTGCCCTCCCTCTTATCCTTCTAGAAGGGACACAGAAGGGATTGGGATCTAAGTGGACTAAGGCTATTCCCAAGGTCTTGGGTGGGGGGCTGTGGCCGGGGAGGGGGCTTGCCAAGGATCAGTTAAAGACATGAGCTGCAGGTTTAGCTACACTGGGCTAAACCTAGGTGGTTTTCTTCCAGCGCTAGGAGCCAGTGAGTGAGTAGGAGGGAGGGTGTGTGTGTGTGTGTGTGTGTGTGTTGGGGGTGGGTAGGAAAGGGCTGTGGTCTAGTAACTCTGGGTGTGTGTGTGGGGTAGCTGGCACAGCTGTGCAGATCTGGTCTGTTGTGTAGTTGTGTGTCTGTGTAGCAAGTGTGTATGAGAAAGCATGCAGCAGTCAGAAGGGCATAGGTTCACGGAACAGCCAGTCAGCCCTGACCAGGATCCAGGCGCTAGCTGCCCCCCAGACCGGTGGCTTCCATGCTTGAGGCTTAATTTCACCTAACGGAATGCCAAGTTCCTGGGAGGATCACTTGCATATAAGGTGCCTCACTGAGTTCTAAGAAAATTACTCTACAAATGGGAGCTATTGTTATTCTAATGATCACCCAGAAGTGTGGCAGGGAGCATCAGGAACTCTCTTCTGCACAGCCCCCCATTCCAGTGTGGGGGCATTGGGGTGACTGGGTAGCCCCGGGGATGAACACTGGAGCGTGGACAGTGGTCTGAGAGGCGTGGAGGGGTGGGGGAAGCTGTGGGTCTAGAAAGATCTGCTCAAGTTTTGGACTCTTGCCATTGCAGGTGGTGTAGCTGCCAGGAAGATGGGCAACAGACCAAGGCCTCTCATGGTCTCCCCTGAGACCCAGCTGTCTGGGGACCCTTGTAGGGAGCCAGCCAGGCACACCTGCTAGGGACAGCATCACTCCTGCCACTGTGTGGGCTGCAGTGGGAGAAGGGGAAGGCATGGCTTCTGGCTGTACATGTGGGTTCTTCTCCCCATGAATATGTGCATACATAACACAGCAGGCTTAATAAACAGCCTGGGCTGCAGGCTCTGCTTCTTGTTCTGGCTCTGCTGTGCTTGGTACCGCTGGGCCTGGGGGCTGGCTCATCAGGTTGCCTCCATCCAAGCCACTGAGAGGATGGTGGGGGTCGGGGGTAGAGCCTTCAAAACGAAGCACCCCCAACTAAGGGATCCCTGCTTCCACAGCCTTCCCTCTCATTTTTGTCCCATGCCCCTTTAAGGTACATACTCAAAAGTCCCTACACCGTGCCTGTAGAACTACTGCATGTGGTTAGGGCTGGGTTCCAGAGAGTGAGAGAAGACAATGTCCAGATCACCAGGAAAGTGCTAATGTCTCCTCCGTGAGGGCCTCTGAGGTGCCCGTTCCCCCTCCCCCTGAAGCTGCAGATGGAGCACAAACTCAGAGCCCATGGCCAGGAGGCAGGCATGCGTAGGATGCCCCTTTTAGAGGAGAAACAGACTCAAGAAGGGGTGCTGCGGCTTGCTCCAGATCCAGCCATGGAGCCTGGATTTGAACTCTGGCCCCCTCCGATTCCAAAGCCCAGGTGCACTCTGTCGCATGGAGCGCTGGGTGCTGATGCAATGGTCACAGCCTCTGGCCCTGTGTGTGCTCTACGCTGCTGTCTGGGTTGTCAGGAGACTCCCCCGGCGGGGCGGGGGGGACTGGGGTGGTGGTCACCCCTTCCGTGAGGTCCCTTTCTCTCTTCCTCTACAGCCTTGGAAGGCTTGCACTGCTTGTTGCACCATGACCCATGTCTTCACCTGACACTGTGTCAGGTACCTCCTCTTTCCTCATCTCCCACCACCCCTCACATGAGCTCATCCCGTTCTTGACCTTAACCTTCTGGCTCCTTGATTCTGCTCCTGCCACTTCCCCTCGGGGCCTCTACTTCTTCCAGATCTCATCCTCTGTGTCCTCCCTCAGGGGTTACCTTGCTCTTCCCTGTCTGTCCACCCTCCAAGTGCCTGCCCTTCCCTGCACAGATTTGCCACAGGATGGAGCCTTGGGGTTCCCAGCCCTGCTCTGCCCAGTGTGGGGAGCTCAGGAGGTATCTTGCGCACACTGCATTTCTCTCGTGCCTGCTGTACCCCTTGAAGAGTGCGGGGCCATCTTATAGCACCATACTGCTTCTGGAAATGCATCAGCCTTGTTCCTGCCCCAGGACCATTGCACCTGCTCTTCCTGCTCTCTGTGCACCTTTGCTGGGTGGCTCTCAGCGCACTGGTCACATCTCACACTATTAAATCTACAGGAGCTCCCATGGCCTCTATCCCTCTCTCCCTCCCTATTCGATAACTGTTATCTTCACAGCTCTTAGCAGCTTTTTCACATTTGTTGATTATCTGTGTGCTACCAGAAGGCCACTGCCCATGGGCTGGGGTCTTGCCTGATGGCTTCTGCTGCCCCATGCCTGGGAAGTACCTCTTGGATCCAGTACTTGATTGGTGAATGAGTTGTTGCCCCGGGGACTGGGCAGGTCCTGTTTCAGGTTGGTACAGCCCCTCTGTGTCCTCCATGTTTGTACCCTGTCCTTGGCTGAGTCATCTCTGCATCCCCAGACTGGCTCAGGGCCGGTCGAGAGGAGGAGTTGGGTAAATGTTTGCGCTGTTAAATTGGACCTGTCTCAAGCTCCTGACTGCCTCTACATCTGAGGAGCTCCAGGGACGGGGGCAGCAAAGAGAGATGAAAGAAGGTGAGGAGCACGTTTCAAAGTTGGCCCTTTCTGCTCAGATAAAAGCAGGTGGGGAGGGGAGCGGCCATGGGAGGAGGAAGCCACTGGGTGAGGGGGTGGGGAGGTGTGGAGAGCTAGCACAGAGGAGGGAGACAGCAGACAGGAGCCTGACCCTGGGGCTAGAGACTGGCTCTCAACTGCCTGGGAGAGCCTGCCCAAGTTGAAGCCGCCTTCCCTCACTGAGCCTGAGGCCTCTGACAAACCAGACCTAACAAGGTCATCCCTGGAGACGCCTAAGGGGGATGTTTACAGCCTGTGCTGGGAGCAGGTATTGGGCATAGCAGTTCAAATGCCTGCATCCACATTGGGTGTCTGGGTTTCAGTCCAAGGCCTCATTCTGGTTTTAAGCCAGCTGCTTTTTTTTTTTTTTTTTTAATTTGTTAATTTATTGGAAAGGCAGATTTACAGAGAGAAGGAAAAACAGAGAGAAAGATCTTCCATCTGCTGGTTCACTCCCCAAGTAGCCATAACAATCAGAGATGAAGCAATCCAAAACCAGGAGCCGGGAGCCTCTTCTGGGTCTCCCATGTGGGCGCAGGGTCCCAAGGACTTGGGCCATCCTCTACTGCTCTCCTAGGTCATAAGCAGGGAGCTGGAAGGGAAGTGGAGCAGCCAGGATGCGAACTGGTAGCCACATAGGATGCTGGTGCTTGGAGGTGGAGGATTAATTAGCCAGTAAGCTCATGTGCTGGGCTGGAATCCAACTGCTTTTAATGTGCACCCTGAAGGCTAGTAGGAGTTGGTTCAAGTAGGTGGGTCCCTGCCAATATTCCCGGAGAGACCCGGATGGGAGTTCTAGGCTCCTGGTTCCATCCGGCCAGTCCTGGCTTTTGTGGACACTAGGGGATGAAGCAGTCAATGGAAGGTATCTGTCTCTGTGTTGCTTTGCTTTCCGGAAAAACAAAACAACACAGCAGGGAGGAAGGGAGGTGGAGGACCCAGAGGCACTGGCAAGTGTCTTCAGCAATAAGCAGGTGGAGGAAGCGTCAGGCAAAACCTGAGCCCCGCAGCCTGCACTATGGACCCATTACACCTCACCTGGGGGCGTGCTCTCATCTCACACTTACACTCATCTGCCCCCCTACACATCCGCATCAACAGGGTCTTCATCTGGAGCTCCTTTCCCCTTGAATCGACATCTGATCAGATTCAAGTGCCCCATTTAATTTTTGCCTCCTCCAGGAAGTCTTCCCAGATCTCTCGCGTTGGTTTGCCAGTCTGAGAGCTCACAGGCAGTTCAGTAGGATGGCCTCTCTTTATCTCCTCACCTAGGGCTGCCGTGAAAGGCTGGGTACACAGGCTGTGTACTCCATAAACCCAAGAGAGTGGTTCCATTGAGGCAGCAATGTAGTTATTCTCTGGAATTGCAGGACACAGAGGTCCTCAAGCTACCTTCCCTGAGCCCTTCCTCAATGCCCAGTAGGGCAGGGCACTGGCCACACCCTCCGCCTCTGACTCCTCTTTTGATGTTGGCCACGCTCACACCCCAACTCCTCCTCCGGATACATGGCCTCCTCTCTGCCCTTGGGCCAGCCTAGGCCAGGGCCAGCGCCCCCTGAGCTCTCACAGCCCACATCCTTCCCAGGAGGCTCTGCCTGTCCCACTCCTGTCACTGTCCCCTTTCTGCCTGCTTCCCCATGGCCAGAAAGGACCCTCAGCCTCCTTCTGCATCACCCACAGGCTCTTCCTGCTCTGGCCCCGCTCCTTTCCTGGCTGGACTCCACATCTACATGGGTCCGTTTTCCCCTTTTCCATTCCACTCATTCACCCCATGCCCCGTTGAGCACCTGGATGCCAGCCTTCCCAGCACAGAGCTCCCTCTACTGGAGGGACAAAGTGCTCAGAGAAGCCGGTGCTGGAGGTCAGGTGACATATGGGACTGGGGCTGGGATCTTAGGATAGATAAGCAGGATCTCATTGGAAAGGCGACTTCTGCATGGAGACCTGTGGACATCAGACTGAGAAAATTCCAGGTCGCGACACCACCAAGAAGCAGCACCTCCAAGGCACCTGTGGGCCTAGTGCGCATGTGCAGTTATTGGGAAGCTGCAGCCGACCAGGGAGCGGGGGGAGGCAGGACCCAAGGCTCCACAGGCTCCAGGGAGGCCAGGTCATGTAAGGTCATGGTCACTGTCAGAGTTTAACCTGGACTCACAGCTGAGCAGGGTCTTCTGAGGGGTACCAGGCACTCACTTTCGCAGTGAGAAGGGCCAGCCGGTTCCAGCTAAGAAGGGGTATGAGTCGGGGACAGGAAAAAACAAAACAAAACGAGGAGATCTACGGGGATGGGAGGGGCAGAAACTACGGTGGCCTGACCCCAGGGGATAGCAGTGGAGCCAGTGACAAGGGGCCATGCTTGGCTGCCTGTGGGAGGTAGGGGGTGGGGGAGAGAGAGAGTGCTCTAAATAGGAATTTACTGATAAACTGGCTGCAGGGCTGGGAGACAGTAGCTGGGCAGGTCCCCACCACTTCTGACCCAAGCCGTGCAGAGCTGTGCAATGGCTCAGAAGCAGTTGGAAACAAAGTGGTTGATTTACTTGGCTATGTGTGTGCGTTTCCTTTTGGAAGGAGAACCTTTGACTATGGCAAGGTGGGAAGTGTTTAGCCGAGCCCCACAGGTGGCTGCAGAGAGCAGAAAGGATTGGGTGGGCAGGAGGTCCTGGGAGTGGCAGCTACGGAGCGCCAGGTCTGTGCACCTTGCCCTCCCTCCTTGTCCTTGTGCCTCCCACGGCGACGCTTTCCCCGGGCTCCCTGGCCGCCAGCCAGTTGCTCTGTGTGCAGCTGTGTCCCCGGCCCCTTCCCTCCCACCCGCCTCGGTGCGCGCGGGGCGGTGGTGGGATAGCAGGCAGCAGGCGTCGGCCCCGGGCGGGGGTCTCACCGGACGGGCCGGTTGGCGGCGTCGGGGTCCCGCGCCGTCACCACGCCGACCAGGGAGCCCACCTGCGCGTCCTCCTGCACCTCCAGGAGGCCGGAGGGCGGCCGGAACTCGGGGGGCTCGTCCACGTCGGTCACGGCCACGCGCACGATCGCCTGGTCGCGGAATGTGCCTAGGTCGGAGAAGCGAGGGTCCACGAACTTGTTGAGGGCTTCCAGGACCACGGTGTGCACGGGCTGGGACTCGAAGTCCAGGCGCTGAGGAGGGAGGAGCAGCGGGCTGGTTAGGGGACGCTCCTGCTGGGCATCCTGTTCCAGCTCCAGGGGACAGGGGCTGCCTCTGCAGGCACTGGGTGCTTGGGCTACGCCCCCCATCTGTTATCAGAGACCTGGCATCAGCTCCCTAGCTACAGGCAGTGACACTGGGGATCCCTGGCCAATAGGCCGGTGCCACACCCCATCTCATCACCATCACCATCATCATGGGCTTAATGTACACCTGAGCAATGAACCAATGCAGAAAGACCCCCAGGTCACTGAGCAGCTGGTGGTTAGCAACGCCAGGACTTAAGCCTGGGAGTGTGACATATGGGTGTTGAGGTGTAGTTCTCAGCTTTTAATAGCAGAAGAGGAAAGGGGGTGCTGGGTCTGAAGTCACTGAGGGCTGGCACTCAACCCTGGGGGCCAGCATGGTGGCATAACTCGTTAAGCTGCCAAATGGCCTTGCCATGGAGTACTGGCTGCTCCATTCCCCATCCAGTTCCCTGCTACTGCACCTGAGAAAGTGGCAGAGGATGGCCTAAATATTTGGGTCCCTGCACCCATGTGGGAGGCCTGGAAGAAGTTCCTGGTTCCTGGCTTCCATCTGCTATTAAAGTCATTTGTAGAATGAACCAGTTGAAGGAAAATCTCTCTCTTCCTCCCTCTTTTTCCAACAAACACAATACTTAAAAAACAAATCCTGGGCCTCTTGATGCTAGACAGCCACTTGGGGGGGGCATCCTGGTTACAGCCCCGGGCTCTCCAGTGAAAGGCAGAGGGACATTCCCTTCTTATGGGTAGAGGAGCCGCTAATGCCAGCCGAGCCTGGTAAGCCTGGCAGTCTCGGAGCTGTCCTCCGAAATCTGCCTAAATCCACGCTGAGCCTGGGCTTCTCCCAGGGTTGCTAATGAGTGACCCTGGCAGTGGTGAGCGCACAGTGCCGGTGGCTCAGGTCCTCCACAGATGAGCACAAAGAACAGCTGGTGGTACTGTGGGGGCTCTGCCTGGCATGGGGGTAGGGGAGTGCCTGGATCTGCAAAGGGGACCGTCCCAGACCTTCGCTGTCAGCTTGCCTGTTTGGTGCCTCCCAGAGCCCAGCACATAAAGGCCACCGCTTCCCCCATCCCGTTGCCTGGGAAATGAAGATGCAGAAGGCCAGCACTGCCTGGCCCCAGAGTGAGCGATAGGCAGCAGCCAGCTCATCCATCAGGCGGGCTCTGCCCTGAGCCGGCGCTGACGCCACAGGCTCATCTCTGGCGCCATGGCTAGGGCAGAAGGGCTGGCGGGTGATGGGGCAGTGCTGGGTGGGGTGGAGGGGGGGCACAGCTGGTTGCTGCTTGGCAACGCTGCACCTTTCCGAGCCTCTGACTCTGCATCTGTGAAGTGGGTTTCTCTCCCAGGAAGGGCCAGGGGAAGGTAAAAGTTTGCCAAGCATCCCGAGCCTCAAAGGACAGGGAGTGCAGCAGAGCATATGGGTTCATATCCACCCCGCCCCCCCCTCCCCCCGGGCCATGTCAGATGCAGGGCCTTGGGCTGGCCTTGACTTCTCTCAGCCTCATTCTCTCAGCCTCATTTTGTCACCTAGGAAATGGACAATCATAGTACATGAGGAGTGAGTCAGGATTCGGGAGGCAGCTGGGGGACGCCGATGACACCTTGCTTTAATAGCAGCTGTTAGCTCGCTCCCCTCTGGGAAGTACAGAGCCGCCTATACCTTCGCTGGGCTCCTGTGTCTTTGGTTGGCCTCTGTTCTCTTCCCTGGGGAGTGCTGAGGTTGTAGCTGAAGTTCCAATCACCTAGCCACCCAGTGGGGGAGGTGGTTGCTAGACCCAGGTTGGAAAATGCTTGGTGGGGGCGGGGGGCTCAGATCTCCAAATCCAGAGCAAACTCCATTACCTCCCAGAGCCTCAGTGTTCCCATCCGTAAAATCATCATGGAGGGAAACACCTCCTCTCTCAAGGCCTAATGGGAGTGACGAGTGGGAGGGGCCTGGGTCAGACTTGAAGGAACACATCACCGCTGAGGTGTGAGGGCCAAGCCATTGGCACAGTGGCTTCGACACCTGCAGCCCATGCTGGAGGACCTGGGTTTGAATTCTGACCCAGCTTCCTGCTAATGTACACCTAGTGGGGCAGCAGGTGGACTTGGGTATACCTGCTCAAGTACTTGGATCCCTGCCACACACATTAGACCCACACCAAACTGCTGTCTCCCTGGCTTTGGCCTGACCCAGCCTTAGCTGTTGCAGGTATTAGGGAATAAACCAATGCATGGAAGGTTTCTCTCTCTTTCTGTATGTCTCTTCCCAACCCCCATCTTCCAAGTAAAACGATAAGGAAAAATAAAATCTGTGCAAGCTCCAATAAGTCACTTAGCTTCTCGGTGTCTCATTTGTCAGCTGGGTTTGCTATCATCTGTTTCCCCAGAGTGGTCCTGGGTCCCTAGAGAGACCTGCTCCCTGGAGTGGAGCCAGTTGGGGTTTTGTGACTGCTGAGAGGCTCCCTTGCCCCAGCCCCCACCCCCATCCCTCTCGAGCCAGGCAGCCGCACCTTCTGCACCACAATGATGGCCTCCTGAGTGTCGCTGTCCGTGGTGACCTTGAACACGGCGCCGCCGCTGCCACTCTCTTCTTTCAGGTGGTATGTCATGTCTGTGTTCTCGCCCACGTCCGAGTCCTCGGCCTTCACGCGGCCCACAGCCGTGCCGATGGGGGCCGACTCCTGGATGCTGAACTGATACATCTCTGTGGAGGAATAGGGCCATGATCAGGGATGCGGGAGGCCCTTGCTCTGGCTTCACTGCCTCGGGAGGAGGGCTGGGGGCCTGGAGATCCTCTAGGGAGGGCTGTGTCTGCCAGGGGCTGCTCCCAGTGGGGCCCGGGTGGGGGCTGCGTCCTGCCCTTTGCAGGTAAAGAGGAGGGTCCTACTTCTGCCCCTCGGGAATGTTCACTGTTTGGCTTGGGAAAAAGCCAGCAGCTCTCGGGACCCCAGCTTCCCCCTCTGCTCAGGAAGGGCAGCAGAGGAGCAGACTGCTAAAGGCAAAGTTCTGGAGTATCACCTGGGGCCTTGGTTTCCTCATCTGTAGAGTGGGTTAATAGCAGCACCTTCCCAAGGGCAGAGTTGTTACCACAAACATCGATGCTGAATGCAAGGAAAATGCTTAGGGTGGCGCTACAGCCCATGGTGGCTTCTCATGGAATGGAATAGACTGACTGCAAAAAACGGATGGCCTTCATTCTGCTGCTGCTGCTGCTGTAGGTGTGTGGAGCCCCACGGATGTCCTGGGTGCCCTGGGCTCAGGAGAGACACAGAGCTGGTCCCCAGTTTTCCCGGTGCTTCCTTCTTAATGGAACGAGAGAGACACTGACAGGTCACATGAGCAAGCTGCAGGGTGAGTGCTTCGGGGGGAGAAAAGGTAGGCAGGAGAGGTGAAGCACCTGCTGAGGGAGTTGTTGGCTGCTGGTTTAAATAAGGCCAGGCAAGAGAGGCCTTGGCAAGAAGTCCAAGCAGGTGAGAGGATGAGCCAGGTGCCTGCATCCCAGATGGCACGAGTGGCAGGTGCAAAGGCCTTGAGGTATACAAGGCTTGGTGGTTCTGATGGCCACTGTGGCTGGAGGGGAGGAAAGAGGTCTGTCCCAGCTCCTGAAGCCAAGGCCAAGTTAGGATAGTTTGTGAAGGGATGGGCACCCCTGTTATAGCAGTTGCTGTGGGAACAGGGCTGTGTCCCTTGGTCCCCTACACGAGTGGGTCTGATTTCCTCCTATATAGTGGGGGTGGGGTAGTGGTGGGAGTGGTGGAAGGGCGTGGATCTTGCTAAAACACAAGCTGGACACAGCACTCTCCGGCTCCAGCCCCTCTCACCCAACCCCATACAAGCCAGACATGCCACTCCCGAGGTCCAACCCCTCTCATAGCTGCCTATAGCCTTGGGGTGTAGCTGTATAGTCCCCTGGGTTTGAGCTACAAAGTCCCACTGCTCAGCCCCTGCTGGCACCTGCGGCCCCATCCTCCATGTTCTCTACTCCAGTGTCAGCTTGGCTCAGTTTCTATGCGCCTGTAAACATGCCATGCTCTTTTACCTCCAGGCATCCTTCTCCCCTCTGCCTTCGCCTCCCACAGCCCACCCTTCCTTCTAGTCTCATGGTGTGCCTGCTTCTCCAAGGAGTACACTGAGACCTCCACACTGTGCTCCTGCGCCTGGCCCCCAACCTTATCCCATTACTCTCATTCTCTATCTTCTCTCTCAATCCTGAAACCCAGGGACCGTATCTCATTCACGAGGCATTCTCAATGCCTGATGGAAACTCATGTGTAAATGAGATGTGTGCGGGACTGGTGAGTTGATGAATGAAATTCTGCCAGAACCACTAGTGTCTACTTACCACATTAATACAAATTTCAGAGTCTGACAAAAATCAAGTGTTGGCAAGGACGCAGGATCGCGAACACATGCATTTCTCCACGTGGGAAAGCAGCTTGGCAACTTAAAGTAACTGCTCACTCATCCAAGTGCACACGTATGTAGACAACAACCCATGCACATGGACACAAGTAGCTCCGTGCACAGACATCCAAAGCCGGACCTTTCTGAATAGCCCCCAATCAGGAACAATCAGATGTCCACTCCCAGCCGAGCAGATGACAGACAGAAAACTGCACAGCAACCAAAGCGAGCAAATGATACGATGAGTTCGGACAGTCAAACTCAAAGAGGGCAAAAAGCAAGATGTGAAACGACTTGGATCGCATATCACTCCTGTGAGGTTCAAGGCTGGGTACGGAAGACTGTCACATTCAGTGATGCCCATGGAGGTCAACAGACTCCAAACAACAGCAGGTGGATGATGGAAGCAAGACAGGTGCTGGGTGCTATGGCTGGGGGTCAGGAAACAGAACGCCAGGAGGGGCTGGGTACCAGGGTGCTTATTTATCATACCTGTTGCCCTGAATGTCTGTGTCTACATGTCAACATCTGACTACATCCTACTCTCTCACACACAAACATGAAATGAGAAAGGAAGCCAGGAAGGCTTTCAGGGACCCTGGCCTCTTCCTCCTCCTCTCCAGAGTTCTACCACACTGGTTCAGAGCCAGGAGGCAGCTGGGCAGAAGATCCCTCTGCACGGCTGGTGGCGGAGGGTGGGCCTGCTCGGTGCCATGGAGGCGCCCAGCAGGCCCTGCGCGCCCCACGCTGTGTCTTGGCTGAGATGCTGGGCCCCGTGCCACGGAGCGCGCTCAGCTAAGGGATTGGATTCCCTTATCTCATGGGGGTCAGTCCCCTGTGGCGGGGCCTAATGCGAGAGCGCTGGACCTCAAGTAATGATGCCCTGATAGGAATCAGCCCAGCTCCCCGTGGCATTTAGTCTATGCCAGCTTGGGTTTCCCAGTGTGGGGCTCTGGCTGCACCAACAGGGAGGTGAGGACTAGGGCTGCAGATGCCTCCAAGCCCCGATGTGACAAAGCTGAGGCTGACCTAGAAGCCCAGACACCTGCCTGGCCGGCTTGGGGGAAGAGAAGACCACCTGTCATTCACACGCAGCATGGCCACACACAACTCCAGGGGTCCCTCGGCCTCAGAACGACAGCTGCCTCCTCTGTGTCCCTGTCCCTCCCATCCCTGCACACCTGCTTTTGCATTCCCTTTGCAACCTTGGGGGATCAGCACATAGCTGGACAAGGCCCTGGTCCAAGGGGGTCTGTGAGGGGCTGGGCGCTGGACAGAAGGGGGACAGGGGATGCAAAGGGGGAAAGTGGAAAGGATCTGCAGAGTCAGGCAGGGCTGAGACTTCCTGGGCAGGAGTGTGAGGGGAGGGGCACACAGGTGGGAACCCCTCATTCAGAGGGAAACGCAAGGGGAAGCCAGGGCTGGTGGGAGGCCAACACACAGACACACACAGGGCCTTCCGGGGGTAGGGCGCACACTCACTCTGCGGGAATCGAGGTGGGTTGTCATTGACATCGGTGACCACGATGGTGACGGTCGTGGAGCCCGAGAGGCCGCCCAGCTGTCCGGCCATGTCTGTGGCCTGAATCACCACCTCATAGCGCTCCTGGCTCTCTCGGTCAAGGTCAGGCACTGCCGTCCGGATCACACCTGTGGGTTAGAGAGAGTGAGTAAGGCCAGGCATGCCCCACACCACCTGCTAGCTGATTCGCACAGACTGAGGCAGGTCCCAGGCCTGCTGAGCTCTGCGGCAGGTCAAGTTCAACAGGCAGATGGGTAGTGCTGAAACCATCAGGGGGACTGCAGGGCAAGGTGAGTGTGCCAGCCACCACACACTCACACATATACGCTCATAGTCATGCATGTGCAAACGCACGATCTCATACGCATATGCTCTCACACATGCTCACACTCTCATATATGCATACACAAATACACAACATGCTCACGCACACCCTCGAGATCAGCCATGGATATGCATGCACACATGGTCACTCCCCCTTGTAGCATCAGATATCCTTGCATCCTTGTACACATGTGTACACACCCAAGTGTGGTCAGATATGTTTGCCCACGTGGTGACACACCTATGGTTACAGATTTGCTCACATGTGTGCAGTCAGGATATACTCCCACGTTCACACACACACACACACTCATGTTTGGTCACAGATATCCTTCTGCATACATACTTACATGCTCACAAACTCACACAAATTTATACACACACACTCCCCAATATACACACTTGCACACATACATTCACACGACAGTCTTACACATGCATATCCACATAACACAACTTTCACGCACACGTATATAGTCTCCAACGCACATCCTTCCACATAGCTGGGCACACACTTACACACATACTGACAAGCACCAGTGCGGAACATAGATCCATGCTTTCTCTCTCACACACAGCAAAAGGCAGCAGAACGGGTTCTCGTGGACTCAAGTCTGTCTGGGTGACTCCCTGCAGCAGCCACCCACCTTGGGGACATTAGTCCCCCACCTGCTCTGGTCTGCAGAGCCAGGCCTGGGACTGATTCATGTCTTGGCAGCTCCCAGCTCAGCGAGTGTGTCATCAAGCGACTTACACTCATATCCACATTCAGGCATACACACATGCCCATGCACGTGCTAAAATGATCACACTCAGAGAAGACATCTGGAACCACACACACAGAAATCCCCTGCCACATGTTCTCATGATCCTTCACAGTCACCTGAAGCCCCAAGTCCTGCCCTCCAGCCTCCTCCACTCCCGGGGCCCCAGATTCCCCCTCCACAGTCCTGCAGAGAGGGGAGAGGCCCACAGTGAGAGCAGGCTGGATTCTGTGGAGGAGAGGTTCTTGTCATCCTGCCAGCAAAAGACGCCAGGGCTGGGCAGGGGAATTGATGAGGCATTCAGAGCCCCTCCGACCAACCATTGCAGCTTGCTGCGCGCCAGGTGGTGCCAGGTGGTGCCCAGGGCCCGGGTGCCAGGTGGAGTCACGCACCAGCAGCCCTGCAATGTGCCCCATAAAACCCAAGTTCTGACACCTGATGTCCCCAAACGGCCCCCAGCCTGCAGTCAAGGCAGCAGAGTGGAGGAGAGGCTAGTAGGTGTACTAGCTAGGGCTGGAGTGCTCAAGGAGGAGGTCCTGCATTTGTAGGTTTACACATAGATAGAGTATTCCAGGTCATTGAATGTCACACAATGCCCTACTTTGGAACTTCTCGGGAAGCTCCTGCTGGGACTGGTTCTTCCTTGGATGATGGTGGTGGTGGAACGGGGTGGTGGTCCTGTAGATTATCTTGGAATTAGTCCAGATTTGCTTGTTATTTATTTATTTATTTTGGCCAAGGGATTTCCAATAAGTCACTTCACCTTTGCTAACCTTAGTTTTCTCCTCTGTAATATGGAAATGAACATGATGGCTGCTTAAAGAATTTCTTAAATGTGGCACTGTTGATTCAGGATGACTTTTTTTTTGTGGGTGTGGGAGTGCCCAGTGCCCCCCTGTGCACCGCAACACCCTGGGCCCCCATGTACTCAGTGGAATCAAGGCAGACCCATGTCCCTTGATCCCCGAGTCCCAGATTTGTCAAACAGAGCCTCGGGGCTAAGCCCAGGTGGGGAGTTCTGGCATGAAACTCCAGCAGAGTCTCATACAGGGGATGATGACAATGGCTGCTTAGGCGCATGCTTTCTGAGGCTCATTGAATCCTTTCAGCATCCACCCAAGGAAGTCATCGTGATGCTACCCATGACACAGATGCGGAGACGAAGGCACGGAAAGGTACTGTGCTTTGGCCAAGGTTGCACATGCACAGAGTGTCCAGCCAGGACTCAAAACAGGCATCTGGGGCTGGGGTCCAAGTTATGAACTACTCTGCCAGGCACTGTTAGGATGGGAAGTTCCTGCCCAGGTCCCTGCATGTCTCCTGTCCAATCTACCCTTGGGCAGCAGAGTATAGGCCAGGCCTCTGCCAGTCTATGATCCTGGGCCAGGCCTGGAGTCTGCCCATTTTGCTCCCCTCAGTGCCAATAAGGTGAGCTATTTTCAATCCCATAACAAGTCCTCCCTGACTGTCCCCTGAGGGCTGCACTGAGATGCTGGGACTCCTGGGCCTCAGCCTGTCTCTGTCTGTAAAGTCCTGGTTGTGGGGATAGAAGTGAGGAAGAGTGGGAGGGGAAAGAGAGAGGGTGGGGACAGAGGGTTGGGAGTGGAAGAGGGAAGGAGGAAGAAAAGGAGTGTCGAAGAGAGAGGTGGAGAGAGAAAAAGCCAGAGAGGGGAGAAAAGAGACAAGGTGAGAGAGACCTAATGAGAGACAAGAGAGAAAGAAAGGAGAGAAATCAGAGAGAAATTCAGAGACACACAAGAAGAGAGCGAGAGAGAAAGGACAAACATGCAGGAGACATACAGACAACAGAACAGACGGGGAGAGGCAGGAAGGGGTGAAGGAAGCTCGTGGGAAGATGGGAGGGAAGGAGGGGACAGGGATATGGCCACCAGGCCGGAAGTGGGGGTTGTAGGCAGAAGGACGGGGGAGGAGAGCTGCCATCCACTGGACACTAACCATGTGCTAAACTGCATGGGTCTCACTGAACAGAGAGGTTTGGTGGGAGGATTGGGGGCTATCTCTGGTTCCCCAGTTCTGAGTGGTGCTTAGAGCAAGGGGCTGCATCTGCCCCCAGGGGTGAGGAGGGTGGTCCCACCATCCCTGTCTCCAAGGACACTACATTCCTCTCACTTGGAAATTGGCCACGTATGATGCAGGCGGCATCTTGAGGTGTGTTTGAATGGTGAGGGTGCCCAGAGGCCATGCTACCCTGGAGGATGTTCCCGCTGCTGTCACCTGCCCTGGTATGTTGCTATGGTGATAACTCCATATGAACCACGTTGCCAGCATCTACACCCTCGGGCAGTCCCCTCTGTGACTGACTCTGGCCTTGGCCATGTTGTGGTTGGACCAGAGGACCACCAGCAGCAAGTGTGGCAAAAGCCGAGACTTGGTGAGCCATTGCGTGCAGGGGACTAGCAAACCCTGAGACCCCTGTGCTGTGATGCTCAGGATGAAAGAATACATACATACACTGAGAGAGAGAGAGTCTGTCCCCTGCTGAGCCAGCCCCAGACAGCTGACAGCCAGCTTATGCCCACAAGTGACCCTTTCCTCCCCTGACCACGAAAGCACTACCCAGCCAACTCATAGGGTTGGCAACTAATAAGCTATTCTTAGTCCCTAAGCTTTGGGGATTTCTGTTACGTAGTCATAGATAACTGATGGAAAAATCTGGCTGGCTGTTCCTCTGCTGGTTTTGTTTGGACTCAGAAGGTTGCATTTTCCTGAGGGGTCAGCAGGGCTGGGGGTCTGCCATGGCCTCCTCATGGCTGGCAGTGGATCCTGGCTGTGGGCCAGGGCACGTTGCTTGCCTCCTCTTTCAGTGTGCCGGCTTTCTATAGGGAAGTCTCAGGATTTTGTCCCAGGACAGTCTCTTAAGGTCTGGCCTTGGAATTTGCATAATGTCATTTCTGTCAAATTCTATTGGCCAAAAGCAAGTCATGGCCCAGCCCAGATTCCAAGGGACCACGGATAGAGACCACCTCCTGATGGGGCAGTGGCAAAGTTGTATCACTCGGAGGCTGTGTACAGACTGGGAGATTTTCCCTGCTTGTTTTCATGTTCCCACCTCCATCTCTTGATGCTGGCAGAAAAATGGAGGCTGAGACACTCCTTCAAGGCCTGGGGCCCACAACATCTCACATGGGTCCGTGGAGCTGTTCTTGAAACCTGCTGGCTCAGCAAGTTCACAAGTTTCCAGGCTCATTCATGAGACTGGCTAAGAGCCTATCCATGTGCCAGACAGGAGGCAAGGTGGGCAGGAAGGATGCGGACACCAGCCACACATGGATCTAAGCCTTCTTCCTGCCAGCCATTCCTGTCTGACCCTGGACAGGCTCCTGAGTCTGCCTGAGCCTTGGTTATCTATTCTATATGATGGGAACACTCAACTCAGCAAGGCTGCTAGGAGTATCCCAGTGGAGGAAGCTTCCAGCCTTGCTGGTACTTTTCCTCAAATCTCGGGATTGGGAACAACTGTACCTAAGCTCCAGGCTGGTCTTGTTCATCATCAACATCTCTCTCTGGCCTGACACAAAATCCCCTCAACTACCCCCCACATACTTTACAAGGACAGAACACAGGTCCAGGTCATTGCCTGGACTCCGGGGATGACAGTTGTTGGGAAAGCACTGGGTGAAAGTCAACTGCATTCTGTTATTTCCTCCCCCCACCTCCCTGGGAAAAACGGGCATCTCCGGCCCAGCTGGAATTTCCAGAGGAGAACTAGAAGTCTCGGAGACGATCTGCCTTCTCCTGCCAGGGTGCAGGTGGGCGGGGATTGGTAATTATAGCCTCACCAGGCTCTCTCGGCTCTCCACAGCCTTGTCCTCCCCCATCGCCTGTCCTTGCTTCCAGCTGTTGTCCTGGCCACCCCCGCTGTCCCCTCCATGTGTTGGAGAAGGGACCCCAGGGACAGCGGGGGTCCAGGCGACACCTCATTAGCTGCCAAATGCCATCCCCGTTGCCCAGGAGGAGGACGTGCTGGCAGCCTGGCCTTCAAATACACATGTTAATTCCTCCTGTGGCACTGGGTGCCCCGCCTCCCACCCTGTCCCTCACACCTTCCTCTGGGCCACTCGGGCTGTGCTCCCTGCCACACGCACAGCTAGAACACACTGTACCTTGTGGTGGCTGCTAAATATAGAGCTGCTGCCACCACTGCCACACAGCCCTGGCTGGGGAGCCGGGGCCAGGAGTGGCATCCTGACGGCTGAAGGCAAGTGGGGCACAGAGCTGGAAATGTCAGGAAACGACCCTGCCAGCAGGCGAGGGCCTTGGGAATAGGGCACCAGTTGAGCTCCTTTGGCCACCCATCTTTCCTGGCGCTCCATTTTCTTGGTCTACACTCTCTCCCTCTTCTTCCTCCCTCCTGCCCACCCTTGGCAGAGGTCCCTTCACGATACTGGCAACCTCCCTTGGCATCTGCCCACTCCTGTCCTCCCCCTGCCAATTCACTAGCCTCCACCTAGGCCCCTCCCTAACCCCCCTAAGGTCCCCACCTCTTCCTCAGCATCATCACCCTCTGGGCTCAGCCCTTTGCATTGAGCTTGCAGAGCACTTGCTCAGACCCCACACAGCCTCCCTTCTTTCTGCTAAAGATCACCTCATGAGCTCTTAGCCCTGCTCTGTTCCCTCGCCGGCTTTCCATTTCCCTCAGCATTCATTGCCAACTGACATCATGTTAGAAAACATTTACATGCTTTACTTCCTGTGTCTCCCACTTCAGTACCTGCTTCAGGACAGTGGAGTCTTGGAATTTTCCATTGCTGACTCCCTAGTGCTGAGAATAGAGCCAGGCTCACGATAAGCTCATCGCCAGTAGTTGCTGAGTGAAGGCCTGAGCTGGCCTGCCCACAGAGTCCTCACAAGGATTCTGTGAGGTAGATGTGACCTGTCTCCTCACACATTTGGAGTCACCAAAGCTTGAAGCACCCCAACCATTCCCAGAACCCAGGCCCACATTTCCAACGGTTGCTAGAAGGTTCTAGATGTTTCTTTCCCTCTCTTCTCTTGTCTTAAGCCAATGGTCAAAGCTGAGCTATTCGGGCACGGTCATGAACTTTTCGGTTCGTAGTTGGCTTTCCTCATCCACAATCCTCCTTTTGTTCTTGCAGGTAGTGCGCCCAGCCAGGTGCCTACACAGGACTGACTTGAGGGAGCATCAAGGAATGGAAAAAAGTCCCTATTCCTCTAATGACCCAGCCCCTCAGTTTGCCCCCTTTCTCAGATCTCATGGCTATCACCGTGTCCCTCCTGCCCAATCCTGTCTTTTTCCTAAGCGTCTCTCTTAACACCCACTCTCAACCATCCATCGTCTCTGGCCTCCTAAGTAGCTGGCCAGGTGAAGGTGAGTGAGCAGGTGTTGCAGACAGGTGCACACTTACGGTTTTTGTTCTCTGGCCCTTTGCCAGGCACCTCCAGGCTCTGGGACCTCCCTGCTTCTAATTCCTGCCTCTGAGCCAAGCTCTACAGCAGCAGCCCGAGGGATCTTGTTAAAATGAAAACCTGAGCATGTCACTTTCCCGCTTAGAAGTCATCAATGAACTCGCAGTGTAAGTGAGGAGGAGGGAAAACAGGCGCTCTCCTGTGAGGCTGGCGGGAGTGTAATCCAGTGCGTTGTGGCGTTATCTTGTGAGATTCCAAATGCACGTGCTCTTTGACCCAGCTCTTCCTCTTCCTGAAAATTATCCTGCAGATAGACTCACACAAGCATGAAATGATGTATGTGTGAGGCGATTCACTGTAGCGTTGTTCATTGTAGCCAAAGATTGGAAACAGCATAAGTGTCCATCAATGGACGACCGGCGAAATAAATTTTAGTGTATCCATAACAAGCATTAAATAAGAGAATGAGGAAGCTCTTTGCCGACTGACATGGAATAATCTTCAAGATGTATTGTTAAGTGAGAAAGGCGAGCAATGTGTATTGTATGTGTTCATAGCCACAATTCATATAAAAAAAAAAGCCCTAAATACATGGGCCTTATTCTCTTGTACACGTATAGAATCACTCTAGAGAGATACACAAGAAAATTACATTGGTTGCCTTGGGGACACAGGCTGAGTGGCTGGGGACTGGAAGGGGTGAAAAATTGCCACTAAGTATCCATTTGGACTTTTTGAATTTTGAACCTTGAAACGTATTATCTATTTAAAAAAATGACTTAATATTTTTCAAGTGCATGTGTTCAAGGTCTCGGAGGATGTCTGCACAGTTACCTTAGCTTTGCACTCACTGGAGCCCGGGAGTGCGAGGGCTTTGCTTTCTTCTCTCGTTCTAAACATTTCTTTAATGTCTTTCAACAATGTATTACGTTTACAAGGAGAAAAAAAATCATGAAGATATTATGTGTAAGGATAATTCAATTAGAACTGCGCTCATAAACTGGAATCCTCCCCTCCCCCAAACAAAATAAACACAAAATCAAATGCTTCAAGCCCCATCCGTCGGTACCCCCACCCCCACCCCACTGCCCTTAGAACAAAGCCTGAGCTTCTCAGCTTGGTTCCCCAGCAGGCAGATCCGGGGGCCCACTCGGCCAGCCTCCCCACACCACCCTGCCTGGGCCCAGGCCTGGAACCTGAGTTGCTTACCATTCCCTTCATGCCTCAGGCTAGTTTCTTCCTCCCAGCTTTTACCCGCGCCATGCCCTCGGCCTGGCATGCCCCCTTCTGCAGTCTCTGGCTGGCTGACATCTTCTTTGCAGATGGCTGCCACTGTCTATTAGAATCCTGGGTCCCCACTAGCCAGCACGTGTCTGCCCGGCTGCCCCACAGGACAGCGAGCCCGGTGATGGTATCTAATCAATGTCCCTGTCTGATGTCCCCCCATACCACCCCGCCCCCACCTGCAGGGAGAATGCCAACGGGAACTGGCAGTCCTCCTGGCTGTGTGACCTTGGATGATTCACTTCAACTCTCTGAGCCTCAGTTCCCGCATCTTGTCTTCCCTGGATACTCTCCCAGACTCCCCAGAGATGAGTCAGGTCCTAATCTGGGGGTGCAGGATTGGGGGTAGGGCCACAGTGGAGTGTGGTGGGATTGGAATGAATAAGCAAAAAGCAGCCAGCCTTCCCTTCCTTAGGATCCTTCCGCTGGACCCTGAATGACTGCCTGTAACCAGCTTTCCAAACTGCCCCTCCCCTAACCTGCACCTAGGGGGCTGCCATGCACCTGCTACCTGCCTCAGTTCGGCTCTGAGGCTAAGTGAGACCACTCGGTTCAGACCTCTAAGGCCCTTTGACCTCCTGCCTGTTTGATTTTCTGCCAAACTTGCCAGAGTACTTCAGCCCATTCTTTTCCTGTTCCCTAGTCCCTCCCGCGCCCTGACCGACTGCCCCTTCCTCCCCACCACGCTCGAGTCCCCCACATGTGGCAGGATGCCTCAGGTGTCCTCGGTACAGTCTTCAGTGTTGTTGGATCCTAAGACTCGGACAGAAGTCTGGGTGGCCTCGCCCCGTCCCACCCTCAGGCCCCACCCCTTCGGCCCCGCCCTGCCCCTCACCAGTCTTGGGGTCCACTGTGAAGTGTTGTTCGCCATCGAGCACGCTGTATACCAGCCGAGCGCTGCTGCCGTAGGTGGGGTCGTCCGCGTCAGAGGCCATCACCTGCATCACCGATGTGCCTGGGCCCGGGGGACCAAGCGAGACTGAGGTCATTCCTGCCTGCTGTGCTCTGTCCCCGCCTGTCTCTACCATGGGGAAGCTGGGGAAGGGGATCCTTTTGAGAGGGTGCTGCTGGAGGATATCTAAGCTGGCCAGGCCCCACGCAGACCCTGTGCCACACTGAATGTCGACCAGCTTCCAGCCAGTGACCTTCTGCAGGCACAGTGTGATCATGGAGGGAAGCTGGACTCAAATCTTGTGGGGTTCCCAGCTGCTGGACTCCTGCCTGCTGCTTCCTCTACAGCGATGTTCCCAGCCTGTGCTTGGCCAGGTTGAGGGAATGCATTGTGAACCTCCAGCTCAGAGGCAGCAGTTAGGACGGGGCTTGGGACACCCACAGCCCATAGCATGCCTGGGTTCAGGTCCTGCCTCTGCTTCTTTCCAGCTCCAGCTTCCTGCTCATACCTGCTTCGGGAGGCAGCAGGTGATGATGGCTCGAGAACTTGGTTCCCTGCCACCTCCGGGGAAAGCCCAGATTGAGTTTCCCATTCCTGGCTTGAGTTGGCTATTGTGAGCATTTGGGGACAGAACCAACAGATGGGAGATCTCTGTTTAAAACAAAGATACATCAATAAAAATTCTTTAAAAAAATATTGAGTGGCCCCAGAGCAAGCTCTCAGGAGTGACAACCTCTCACTGCCGCCAGCTGAGGCCATCACAGTGGGAGTCAGAACCCAGACACCTGCTTCCCAACCTCTTTCTGCCCACTCCAGCCCCTCCTGATGTCTCCAGGGACCTCTGTCTCCAGTGCCTTCTACCATAAGGGACCATCAAGCTCAGTGGGGCTTGGAGCCTAGTGTCTCTTGGTCCCTGGCAGGAGGGAGACAGCGATGGGCTTTCCTTTTTTTTGAAAATCATTGGCTGTGAGCTCAGGTGCCCCCGGCCCCTTCCCTAGGACCCAGCCAGTCCCTCCCAGTCATACACACACACACACACACACACACACACTTCTTGTATGCTCCGCACGTAGGCTGCCGGGGAGAGTATAAATTGGATAAAAGTCCATCAAACTGCGGCAATTAAGTTATTGATTTTCGACGCTGCCTCATTAAACTGGGAGCTTCTCTCAGCCTGTCCCAGAGATGGCTCTAATTTGACATCATGTTCAATTTGACGAAAACTGGACCAGGTGGGGTGGGGGTGGGCAGGAGGGGTCAAACTGAAGGGCCAGAAAAGCTACCTGGCCCACGTGCATCTTTCCAGGAAGAAAGCAGTGAGGTGGATGGCCAGAGGAATCCTGGGGGGCTCAGCGTATGACCCAAAGGGGAGACATAGGAACCACCCCCCACTTCAAGAGAGATGCACTCTGCTTGGCGCCTTATGCTTGCATACCCTCCTGAGGCTGGGCAGGACTCTCTGGGCCAACAGAGCAGCATGCTGGGAGGTGAGGCCAGCTCACTGCCTGGCTAATGAGTGAGCCTGGAAGTGCTATTGCAGCAATTCTGCCCAGCCCAGCCTGCAGCCCGCCTCTCCCGCCTCCAGCCTGGGGCCCTCGATCATTCCAGACAGACACATGTATTTATTTTTCACTCTTTTGCATTTCTCATTTTCCTCTCCGGGTCCCCCTACCCCCCACCTCCCAGCCCTGCAATGCGCTGCTCTCTTTGGCGGCTCCAGCTCCCTGTCCACCATGTCAGGGTTGCCTGGCCGTGCTGCCTTCCTGCTGACATTTGTTGCTCAGGGTCTGCTACTCAGGGCCAAGGACATGCCTTAGGTCCTGACTGCGCATGCGGCTTCACCAGCCTTTTTAATTCCTGATCTCTGATCCTTCTAGTGTCGCAAAGAGGTTGAATGGGGCCTCTCTGATCCTATAGGAGAGGAAACAGCCATGATGGAAAGCACAGAGTGAGGGGAATGGTGGGATTTGAATTTAGGACTCTGTGATGCCAGAACCCTTGGGGTACAACAAAGTCTCAGGAAGGTACAGTGGCCTTGTGAACAGCTGCAATTGGGAATGGTGCTGATGTTGGCTGATGCTTAATACAAGCTTGATATTAGGGCTGATGTTTGGCCTAGTGGTCAGGTGCTGGTCAGGACACTCACTTCCTACTTTGGGGGTGACTCCCAGCTCAAACTTCTGATTCAGGCTTCCTGTTAATTCACATTTTGGTGGGTAGCAGTGATGGCTGGGTCCCTGCTACCTCTGAGGGAGGTCTGGATCGAGTTTCATGCTGTGGTCATTTGGGGTGTGACCACCTCCCTATGTCTATCTCATTTTGTCTCTCAATCTTTTTTAGTACTCATGGAGGAATAAATGAGAAGGCAAGCACTTTAAACAAAGGATTTTGACCTTAGATATGTCACGGACCATTTTCTGCTTCAGTCCCTTGAGATAAATTTGAGGATTCAAATAGATTCCCACATTCAGCACCGAGGACAGCGCCTGGCCCATGCTAAGAACTCAATCAATGCAGGTGGCTGCTGTGGTCTCAGGAGACGTGGTATGTGCAGTGGTACAGTCCTGCCTTGCTCAGAGGGGTTTTGGAATGGGAGCAGGTACATAAAGCACCAGGCTCACAGAGGATGCTGAATAACAGTGGCTATGCTAGCTGTTAGAAGAGCGGGTCTCCCCACCCTCCTGTTTTCCCCACCCCTCGAGCAAAGCACAACACTGGGCTGAGTGACTCCCTAGGGGCACGGCTGAGCTCTTTCTCTCTCTCCCTGGCTACATCCCAGAAACTCCCGCGGGGATGATGGAATCATTTCCCCAATCCGGGGTTCTTTATTGCAGCCATTACAGTTAATGCCGACCAGGGACGGTGGAGGGTCAGTGATTCACCACTGGTTCCTAGGCCCCATACCCCCTCCCACCTTTTGCACAAGTCAGCCTCCTTAGTGGCAGATAAAATGGGATGAGACTTGTGGCTGCTGTGGGACCCCTGCATGGTCACCCCACTTCAGGTTCAGCAGTTTGCATTTTACAGTGCACCAACGCTTCCAGCCTCTCCATCGTCTGTGACATAGATGCAGATCATCTGCAATATAGATGGTGGGAAAATCGCCAACCATGCACTCAGGGTGGAGGAGTGGGGAACGCCGTGCTTTGTAGGGCCCACTGTTTCCCATGGTGTAAATGTTCCCATCATGGTCTAATTTTAAGGTCCTAACGTAATATCAACAGGTTTACAGAACTTCAAAAAGTCAGTTTGTGGCTCTTGTGAAATAAAATCCATTATTAATTGTATGTGATTATTTAATATCAATAATAATGATAGATTCCACTTATCAAATAACTACTTTGTGCTAGATACTATGATCCAAGCCCTTTATCTTATCATCTCATGGAATTTACATAAGAAAGCCTTGCAGTAAGCTCTATTAAGATTTCCACTTTGGAGCTAGCATAGTGCTGCATCAGGTTAAGCCACTACTTTTGACACAGGCATCCAATATTGGAGTGTGGTTCAAGTCCCCGCTCCTAAGCCTCTGATCCAACTCTCTGCTAATGGCCTGGAAAGGAGGCAAAAGACTGCCCAAGTCCTTGGGTCCCTGCCACCTGTGTGGGAAATGAAAATGGAGGTCCTGACTCCTGGCCCCAGCCTGGTTCAGACGTGGCTGTGGCAAGCATTTGGGGAGTGAACTAGCAGATGGAAGATTTCTCTTTTTCTCTCTGCGTGTGTCACTCTGCCTTTCAAATAAATAAGTCTTTACAACATATTTCCACTTGGCAGATGAGGAAATGGAGGTTGAATGCAGTTAGGCAATAAGCCTCTTTGTGCCTCAATTCCCTCCCTCAGGAAACGAGGTAATATTACTACTAAACTTGTGGGATCATTGTGAGAACTCAAGTAGATATCCCTGTTCAGCACAGAGAACTGTATCTGGCCAAGTTCTTCTGACAAGGAAATGAAAGAGGCAAAATTCTAAGTCAACATATCCTGCCTTACAGGTAGGAAGAGGGGGTCAACTGAGAAATAGGTGAGTGAGAGAGGAAAGATTTCAAGAAAGTTGAAGGGAAAACAATAGAGGGCAGAGGGCAGTGCCAGATAATGGGGTCATATTCTCCCTCCTCCACATCCGGTTCAAGGCCAGATATCCAGAAGGGTTGGGATGGGTGGGAATTGGGATGCTCTCCATGGTGCTAGTGCTTAGTCTCATTAAGCAATCAAGAGCTTCAAGGCAAGCGGGAACAAGAAGGGTTGCCTATCTGACTCAGGGCCCAGGGCTCTATTTGGAATGTTAGCTATGGAAAGGCTGGTCCTTGGAGAGCACAGAAATCAGTGGTTTCCAACCTGGCTGCACATTAGAATCCCCTGGGAGCTTTAAAATAAAACTGATGCCGAGACCAATTAAATAGGACTCTTGGGGTGGAGCCCAGGCAAGACTATTTTTACAGGCGGCAGAGGGATTCTAAAGTACTTCCTGGGCTAAGAGTTGATGCTCTGAGTCCACTCCTGATGACACTGATGAGGAGACTAAGTCACAGGGAGGTGGGGTGACATTCCCCATGTTCCCAAGGCCACATCATTCATCAACAGCTGGGACAGATTCCAACCCAACCCTGACTGGATAACTGAGACTGACACTCAGAAAGGAGAAGCCAGGGTGATTGTTGGAGCCTCCCAGCTGCTCGGGGGAGATAGATGCCCTTCACAACTCTAAGGAACCTGGCTTGGCTTTGGCACTGTAGAGTTCTGGTTTCAAATCCCACCACTTCCTCATCGTTGCCCTAGTCAAGTCTTTCCCTTTTTCTGGCCTCTCCATCACTTGAATATTAGAGGGGCCCATTCTGCCTGTCTGGGATGCCCAGAGGATTAGATGACAAACTTAATTGGCTGGGCAACTGGTGCTCCAGACAAGCTCCTTCCTTTTCCCTCTCCTTGTGTGGTCTGGAGGCACCTGAAGCTGTGTTCCCGGTTCTGAGCTGAAGATCCCTGCTTACCAAGCATCAGGAAGGAAGACATTTGCCTCCTCCGATTCCTGTTGACTCGAATGGCTCCATCATGGCTCATTACAGAAC